CACACACACACACACACGTTGCACAACACATTTGGGACAAAATCCTACAAAATGGAAAAGAAGTGTGAAATGATGGTAAATGTTGGGATAATTTGATGTACAAACCACATGCTTTTGACCTGACAGTTCATAATGAAGTAAAAAAAAAAATAATAATCTACATATCTGATCTAAATACTACTGTTCAAAAGTATGATTAATACTGTAATACTTTTTTAAATAATTAATATTTAATATTTTTACTGAGCAAAGATGCAGTCGTAAATTGATCAAAAGTGACAGTAAAGACTTTTATGTTACAAAAAATAAATGCTGTTCTTTTGAACTTTCTATTTATTTATTCAAAAACCCAGAACAGAAATGTGTCACAGTTTCCACAAAAATATGAAGCAGCACAACTTTTTTCAACATTGACAATAATAATAAATGTTACTTGAGTAGCAAATCATTATATTCGAATGGTTTCTGAAGGACCGTGTGAAACTGAAGTCTGGAGTAATGATGCTGAAAATCCAGCTTTGATTGACAGGAATAAATTACATTTTAAAATATATTCAAATAGAAAATAGTTAAAAATGTAATAATATTTCACAATATTACTGTTTTACTGTATTTTGATCAAATAAATGCAGCCTTTATAAGAGACTTCTTTAAAAAACATCCAAACATTTGAACAGTAGTGTATGAAAGTGAGTTAAATCATAATTGAAAATGTCATATATATATATATATATACACACACACACACAGACTTGGCCATGTCTATTTAGCTTTTATGCCAAGTCAGAAATCTGGTTACATGAGGGATACCACCTTTAAACTACACAAAACTAGGAACTCTAAACCCATAATAATGTAATTGAGATATCAAAACATACTGACCTTCAAACAGGAATGTCTCGTTCCAGTGAGGGTTGAGGTTCTTTCTTTTGACCTTGGTCTCAAGTTTGTGCTTCTTGTCTGGCAGAAGGTAGAGTTTGACGAATGGATCTGAAGTGCCGGAGAAGTCTTTCGCAGGTAGATCCTGACCCTTCAGGATTTTCACTGTCAGTGTGGAGTCCTGAAAACTGTATCCCACGCTGAACTGGATGCGTCCCAGCTTCTCGCATACTGGTCCTTCATGTTCCTCTTCCTCAGAGCCTGGGGACAACTTACAAACCAAAGTGGACAAGATTGTCATTAAACAGCTTAATCGTTTCACATTAAATCATTATTAACAAAACCACATTACAGTGTTTCCTGCAGCATAACAGAATCTATAGCAGTGTGGCTAAATAAATTATTTTTACCCTATCTGAATTAAATGTGATGAGATATAAGATAAAATAATACAGTAAAAAAATGAACACCACATCTTTCTATTGCATCTTCGCTGGCTGTGCGGAAAAAAACAAACAAACAAGTGTTGTTATTGTTAACTAAAACTAAAACTATTAAAAAAATAGTTTCCATTCATTGAAATAATGCTGAAATAAAATAAAAATAAAAATATTCTGTAACATTTTATTTTAAGGACAAATTCTCACTATTAACTAGTTGCTTATTAGCATGCCTATAACTAGAATATTGGCTGTTTAATAGTACTTATAAAGCACATACTTGTATTTGTCACAATTCACTCGGGAAGCAAGGAACGAGGAAACGAGGAGTACTTGAATAACACAGTCTTTAATAATCCACAGGAAAATCGAGAACAAGGAGGACACTCAACAAGTAGACCCGACAAACAAGAACTGAAAGGACTAGGGCTTTTAAAGGCAGGATAATTGGGGAGGAACGAGACACACCTGGAATCTGTAATAATATTTCACAATATTACTGTTTTACTGTATTTTGATCAAATAAATGCAGCCTTTATAAGAGACTTCTTTAAAAAACATCCAAACATTTGAACAGTAGTGTATGAAAGTGAGTTAAATCATAATTGAAAATGTCATATATATATATATATATACACACACACACACAGACTTGGCCATGTCTATTTAGCTTTTATGCCAAGTCAGAAATCTGGTTACATGAGGGATACCACCTTTAAACTACACAAAACTAGGAACTCTAAACCCATAATAATGTAATTGAGATATCAAAACATACTGACCTTCAAACAGGAATGTCTCGTTCCAGTGAGGGTTGAGGTTCTTTCTTTTGACCTTGGTCTCAAGTTTGTGCTTCTTGTCTGGCAGAAGGTAGAGTTTGACGAATGGATCTGAAGTGCCGGAGAAGTCTTTCGCAGGTAGATCCTGACCCTTCAGGATTTTCACTGTCAGTGTGGAGTCCTGAAAACTGTATCCCACGCTGAACTGGATGCGTCCCAGCTTCTCGCATACTGGTCCTTCATGTTCCTCTTCCTCAGAGCCTGGGGACAACTTACAAACCAAAGTGGACAAGATTGTCATTAAACAGCTTAATCGTTTCACATTAAATCATTATTAACAAAACCACATTACAGTGTTTCCTGCAGCATAACAGAATCTATAGCAGTGTGGCTAAATAAATTATTTTTACCCTATCTGAATTAAATGTGATGAGATATAAGATAAAATAATACAGTAAAAAAATGAACACCACATCTTTCTATTGCATCTTCGCTGGCTGTGCGGAAAAAAACAAACAAACAAACAAGTGTTGTTATTGTTAACTAAAACTAAAACTATTAAAAAAATAGTTTCCATTCATTGAAATAATGCTGAAATAAAATAAAAATAAAAATATTCTGTAACATTTTATACTGCACTAAAATATAATTCTGACAGAATAGGCACTATAAATGGACACATCTGCATCTATACTTGGTAGCTTCTGCTGAAGAACAGTATGTATGTTATATTAATTATGAGTAAATTAAGCAAAGAATTAAAACTTGATGAAATGTCACACAACAGGACACAGCAATATAGATATAGATACAATCCACCTTCATATAAAAGGTATTTCAAGCTTCTGGAACTCATTACAGATGTGTTTAATATACTGTACTAAAACTGAATGTTCAGTATAATTAATAATTTATTACCTTACTAAATAATATAATGGTAACAATTTATTTTAAGGACAAATTCTCACTATTAACTAGTTGCTTATTAGCATGCCTATAACTAGAATATTGGCTGTTTAATAGTACTTATAAAGCACATACTTGTATTTGTCACAATTCACTCGGGAAGCAAGGAACGAGGAAACGAGGAGTACTTGAATAACACAGTCTTTAATAATCCACAGGAAAATCGAGAACAAGGAGGACACTCAACAAGTAGACCCGACAAACAAGAACTGAAAGGACTAGGGCTTTTAAAGGCAGGATAATTGGGGAGGAACGAGACACACCTGGAATCAAATTAACACAATCAACATGAGGAAGAAACTGGGTCACAGGGGCAAAAACACACACAGGATAGTCCATAATCCTGACATAACGGAGGGAGGAGACATGGAGGAGGAATGGCCGCCGACTCCAAGGGGCCGACCAACGGCGGCGGAGCAGGTGGTGGAGGAGCCCGAGGCGGAGACGGAGAGCCGATGAGCCAGGGCGACGAGGAGGATCCGGAGGTCTTAGGCGGAGCAGATGGCGCTGGCGACCGACGCGGAGATGTGGATCCGGGAGGCCGTGGTGGAGCTTAGCCAGAAACAGTCTGGTATGACCCTCGAGCGAATTTTCCCCCTGCTCCAGCAGGAGGAGGATGAATTCAGGGCGAAGGAGGGGATCCATAGGGTACACAACGGAAACATAAAACTGAGTAAAAAGAGAAACAAAACAGAGGGTACAAACAGAGTTAACTGTTTGGGTCGGGTCTTCTTTCACAATAGGTGGTGGAGGCGCCCGAGGTGGAGATGGAGAGCAGATGAGCCAGGGCAACGGGGAGGATCCGGAGGTCCTAGGCGGAGCAGATGGCGCTGGCGACCGACGCGGAGATGTGGATCCGGGAGGCCGTGGTGGAGCTGGAGCGACAGAGGACTGAGGTGGAGCCGAGGGGATGAAGGAGCCTGACGTAGCCGGATGGGCCGAGGCGAAGCCAGAGGAGTGGAGTCCCGAGGCGCAGGATGGTCGACGCCAGACCAATGCGGAGCCGGAGGGACGAGGAAGCCTGGCGGAGCTTGTGGACTGCTGGGCCATGACGGAGAGGAGGGAGCTAGGAGCCATGGTGGAGCCGCTAGGGCTTTTAAAGGCAGGATAATTGGGGAGGAACGAGACACACCTGGAATCAAATTAACACAATCAACATGAGGAAGAAACTGGGTCACAGGGGTTAAAACACACACAGGATAGTCCATAATCCTGACAGTATTAATGCCTTATTTTGCATGACCATATTTTACATTCCTTAATCCTATGCCATACCTAAACTTAACAACTACCTTTCTAACTAGTTTATTGAGGCAAAAGTCATAGTTAATAGTTAGTAAATAGGTAATAGTGAGAATGGTCCCCAAACTTAAGTGTGACGAAATATTCAAATATTCACTTTTTATAAAATATTAAATTAAAAAGTTGCCTTGGCAACTAAGTGAAATAAATTAGGTTTAAGTTGAAATTACTAAAGTAAAAAAAATTAAAGCTAATTCAAAATATGAATAAATACAAGTAGTAAATAATACTAAAATAACACTGAATCTGATTCATGAACAGGTGACTCTTATGAACCAGTTCTTTTAATGAATCAGTCAAAAGCGCTCACAGACTAACAAGCTAGTTTAAATACCAAGATGTTAAAAAATATTATTTATTTGTAAATTATGAGACAAAAAGGTCAAAAACTATGTCAAAAGTTATTAAAAAATAATAATAAAATCTAAAACTGAAATAAAAAGCTAAATAGAAACATTAAAAAAACCAATGAAACAAAAGCACATAAAACCACTAAAACTTTGATAACTAAAACTGAAAAAAAATATATATATAAAAAAGCTAATTTAAAATATAAAAAAATACTTGCATATAAATAATATTAAAAATAACACTGAATCTGATTCATGAACAGCTTATGAACAGGTTATTTTAATGAATCAAAAGCACTCACAAACTCATGACTTATAAGTTTATATATCTATATATATGTGACCCTGGACCACAAAACCAGTCATAAGGGTTATTTTTTTGAAATTGAGATTTATACATAATCTGAAAGCTGAATAAATAAGCTTTCCATTGATGTATGGTTTGTTAGGATAGGACAATATTTTATACAACTATTTGAAAATCTGGAATCTGATGGTGCAAAAAAAATCAAAATATTGAGAAAATCACTTTTAAAGTTGTCCAAATGAAGTTCTTAACAATGCATATTACTAAACAAAAATTAAGTTTTGATATATTTACGGTAGGAAATTTACAAAATATTTTCATGGAACATGATCTTTACTTAATATCCTAATGATTTCTGGCATAAAAGAAAAATCGATAATTTTGACCCATACAATGTTTTTTTTTGGCTATTGCTACAAATATACCCCAGTGACGTAAGACTGGTTTTGTGCTCCAGGATCACATATGTGTGAGTGTGTTTGTGTGTGTTTTGTATATTTTTTGCTTCTGTGTGCTTCACAATATTGATATGTTAGTAGCTATTGGTTTGAATCAGGCTAACTAATGGAACAGACTCCCCTGCTGCATAAACATGACTAACAAAACACTGCAGTTGTCAAATATGAGACAAAAATGGCGCTTTTCCACTGTGTGGTATGACTCGGCTCGGTACGGCTCAGTACGGCACGGCATGGTTCGGCTCGGCACGGTTTGCGTTTCCACTGCAGTCACCCCAGCGAGCCGTCCCGAGCCGTACCGTGCCGTACCATGCAGTGGAAAAGCGCCAAAAAAGTTGCCGGGATGCTTTCGAACGAGTTGTGAAAAGCTGTTGCCTTCACATTAATACGTGATGAAGGGCGAAAAGTTGGGAACTGGTTGGTGGTCTTTCCAAACACCTTAGTGATCCATCACTTAAAGTGGTCTGACAAGCAGCAGCATATCGAATTAATGAACTCACATCCGAGTCAGGACCTTGGCTAAAAGTTGTGCTTAATTTGACATACCATGCCCCAGTGCCCGGATCCCCCCCAGTGGGACTTAGAACTGCGAGAGGCTGGCGCTTACAAGAGCTTCTGGCACCCTCTTAAACAGGAAGTACCATCATTAGCCCTCATCACATCTCTTTAAAAACGCCTTACCACCCACATAATGACACGCAGACCCTGTGAAGGCCATCGTCTGCGTCCCCGCAGCACATTGTACCAGTTCTAATTACGGAGGTAAGTTCCCTTTGACACATCTCTCTGTGTGACTGACTGCAGTAAGGGAGAGCACCAATTACACATGATGCAGCCCTGTGTTTAAAGGGTTCACATCAAAACTAGTGTTACTTCAGAGGCAAAACTAGAAGAAAACTATGGAAGCTCATGGCCACCACGGAATAAAAATATAAAAACATAAAAACAATTTCTTGCAATCCTGAAATGTTAACTCCCAATTGTGAGATATAAACTAATAATTCTGAAATGTCTGAATTGAGAGAAATAAACTTGCAAGGAAGAAAAAAAGAAGAATTGTGACATGTAATCTCAGAATTCTGGGATGTAAATTCAGAATTCAGAAAAAACGGCAAAAGCTCAGAATTTGTAGAAAAAAGATGCAAACTCACAATTACAAGCTTATAATTTGCAATTGTGAGATATAAACTGGAAATTGTGAGAAAAAAAGTCTGAAATGCTAGATATAAATCTGCAATTTTCAAATGAAAAGTCAGAATTGTGAGATAAAACGTTTTTTATTTTTTTATTCGGTTGCAGAAAAAAACACCAGAAATGTGAGATGTAATCTCAGAATTCAAAGAAAAATCAGAATTTCGAGATATAAACTCACAATTGAGTTAATAACCTGAGATATAAACGCCGTATTATGAGAAACAAAGTCAAAACTGCGAGATGTAAGAGATATAAACACGCAAAACCTCGTTTTTTATATTTTTATTCCGTGGTGGAAATGAGCTTCCACAGAAAACAGTACACAGCCACACGTTCACGTTACCATCAGCATATCACTGGTGACGGAGTTGGCCAGGTCTGAGACGGAGGAGTTAGCGTCTGTTCGGCGGCTGCTCTCGTCTGGGGTCTGACCTTTAGGGCTGCTGCTGGGTTTATTAGATCTGGGGAAGAACCACAAGAGAAAAGTGTTACTTTTTAGAGCATGTGGCATTAAACACTCTCCTGTCTTGTCCTGTTCTCCTGTCTTACTAACTTCATAAGCACAGAGAACTTAAGTCATCTATTGCCTGACTTGCCTAAAGTGTAGCTCTGTATTGCTATTATTTGTTTGAGACTGGGTTATGGTTAGCGTTGCTTTGTTAGACCCTGCTGGTTGATGCTGTAACTACACAATCTGACACAAAAAGATTTATTTGACAGTCGTTTAAAATCAGCAGTGTTTTGTATGACAAAATGAAATGTTTTGCAAGCAACATACACTACCATTCAAATCTTTGAGGTTAGTGTGTTTTTTAATGGTTTTGAAAGTCTCTAATGCTCACCAAGGCTGCATTTATTTGACCCAAATACAGTAAAATAAAAAGCAATATTGTAAAATATTTTTACAATTTGAAATGTGATTTCTATTTCAATATATTTTAAAATGTAATTTATTTCTGTGATGCAAAGCTGAATTTTTTAGCATCATAACTCGAGTCTTCAGTGTCACATGATCCTTCAGAAATCATTCTAATATGCTGATTTGCTGCTCAAGAAACATTTATTATCATCAAAATTGAAAACAGCTGTGCTGCTTAATATTTTTTGCAGAAACAGTGATAATTTATAAATATAAATATCTATAAATATTTAATTTATTTATTTGGGATTCTTTGATAAATAAAAAGTTCCAAAGAACAACATTTATAAAAAAATTTTTTTAAAAATTGTAAAAATGTAAAAGTCTTTACTGGCATTTTTTATCAATTTAACACATTTTTGCTGATTTAAAGTATTTAAATCCTGAATCAGTATTAAAGTAAGTATTTCTTAAAAAAATCTTATCGACTTATTGACAGTAGTGTATGAATCATTAATATTGCATTATAGTACATTAGACTCTTTTGGATGTGTTCTTAAACACATGTAACACATCTATTTCTTTCTCAAGGAATAATAAGCTGTTTAACAAGGAACTGGCTTGTGCAAACAATGTTAGATACTGTAAAAAAGAGATTGTGGGGAAATGACAAACATACTGAATAGAATTGTAATTCAATAAATACAAAAATGGTATTTCTGAAAAGTTTAAAACTGAAGTATGGCATTAGATGTTTTATTTCAGTCAGGATGCTGTTTATGGAGGTAGTAGGCAGCAAGGCAGCTCACTAGGTTTTGGAACAGAGCCCAAACCGTCCTCACTGGGAAGCTTAAAAAATAGTGCCATAGTTGTAATACGAGGACATTATAGTTCTGTGGAGATTTGGAATAAATAATAAATGCAAAAGAAAGAACATCACAGAGTGAATCTGACAATGTTCTGCATGAAATGAAGTAAGGACACAACAGAAATGTTGCTGTGGGACAAGCATCGCACCCAGTATTTACTCAGTTCAGAACAGCAAAGAGATAAAAGGATGGAAAACCTGTGAGATAAAAGTGTTTTTTTTGTATTAAAGAATGTTTGGATCAAAAGAAAGTCAAAGCACAAACATGATTATCATCACAGCTAAAGGGTCTAACATATGAATTTTGAAGAGAAAACAGTTACGGAGTCTGGAATTGGAGTCTGAAAAACAGAGATGTCAGAGGCCATGGCAGTAAGTTGAGGTGATGCAAATGAATCTGTCCTATTTCTTTTCTCCTATCAGTGGCAAAAAGGCAATAAATAAAATAAAGGAAACAATTAGATAACAAAAAAAACAAACAACTGAGAGAATACGTATAGCAGAAACCATAAACAGAACAGACACATGGAGACATTAACAGATCGATAAAACCAGGGAGGGGAATCGAAAGGAATGTAATGATTCCATTTCAATTTCCAATTCCACTTACTTATTTCTTAATGATTTTCAAGCAACTTAAGAGTCCCTAATGATTTCATTAATGATCCTTCAGTGCTTTGGAGGAAGTAATTTGGTCCTAACTTTCTACTAAACAAAACCAAGAGTGAATTGCTCCTACAAACACCAACGCTTTGTTCCAAAACCTGGGGAGCTGTCTATGCAAGCAGCATTTTAAAGGCATTATAAGTGCGTTCTTGATGCAAAAGGCTCTAAAAGGTAGCTTGCATGATCATACTGCCTACTAAGATACTGTCTTTTGGTTTTAACTTTATACTATGAACCAAAATAGCAATTCTAAAACGATTAAAAACCGTTTTTGCTTAAATCTAAACAAAAATAAGAAATTTTGCCTTGGCAACTAACTGAAATAAAGCTGAAGTAAAATTACTAAAATAAACAAAAAATACTGAAATAAAAATAGAAATATAGCAGATAAAAAAGTACGAAAGCAGATATAACAAAGAGTGAAAAATTTAAGGGGGTCTGAATACTTTCCGTACCCACTGTATATGCACATACAAAATATTAAATACTATAATAGTATAAATAATACTAACATAACATTTAACTTAACACTAAACACTCAACAAAACTCAACAAAATCACTAACAACAAAAAGGAGGGAGAATTGTGAAAAACGTAACTGTAAAAATGAAATAAGATATAATGAGTATGGCTCCAACAGTAACGATTCTGGTTGCAACTCCATTAACGATTCTTTAATTTTACTCCATTTATTCCAACACAACTCTGTAGTGAGTGTGTAACTTTGACTACATACTGTCTTATGAACCAATCAGATATGACCCTGAATTAAGTGTCACAAGCATCGAATAAACACAATACAATAATGGTTCTAGTTAGAGTTTTAAGCTGAATGTAAAGTAATGACCTTTGATTGAGATTAAACATTTTTTTTATTTAAAAGATTTATTTTTTCATGTTCTTTAAAAAAAAAAAAAAAAAAGGGACGTGACATGTGGCCAAGTATGGTGACCCATGCTCGGAATTAGTGCTCTGCATTTATCCCATCCAAAGTGCGCACACACACACACACGCACGCCCGCACACACACACGCCCGGGCAGCAGTTGGGGGTTCGGTGCCTTGCTCAAGGGCACCTCAGTCATGGTATTGAAGGTGGGAGAGAGCGCTGTACATTCACTCCCCCCACCTACAATCCCTGCCGGTACGAGACTCGAACCCGCAACCTTTGGGTTACGAGTCCGACTCTCTAACCATTAGGCCACGACTTCCCCAAGGACAAATGCACACATGACAAATTTCAGAGGACAAATGCACACATTTCTGTAAAAACTGAAATTGCACTTAAAAAGAACCCGTTCATGATTCCCAACGCTAAAACTGACACTATACAGAAAAATCAGTGAGCAAATGCATGCTAACAGTAACGTCACCCCTCCAGTTATTACGAGTCACAGTGGAACTGAAGGAGTCCAGCACTAATAGACCTATGATGAGTTTGTAGTAATATGGCAGGCACAGGGGGGAGACGAATAGCCACCTTTGACTTTTCATTCCCAGAGAAAGAAAACAAGAAGAAACAAGAGCTGTTGGCACGGCAACGGCTGGAGAGATGGCATGTGCACCTGGTGTGTGGTATGCTGGGAGATACGGCTCGAGTGACAGGCAGACTCATGACAGGGAAGACAGACATGCCGTCTGAAGAGTGATGATCCACCCACCCACAAACACATCCTCATGAAACAGCCACAGTCATCATTTCATAAGACCCTGTCTGAATTTGTCTCTGTCAGAGAAATCCTGCAAGAGTAATTTCCTCTTGCTGTAATGATGATCAGAATGACACGGTCAGGGTCTGAGGAGTTATAGTGAACACAAATGCTCCTTCTGAGTGACATGACAGAAAGCAATGTTTTTATTATATAGCAGTCCTATATGTAGTCTCGCGTAGCCAGACCTTCAGACTGACAGCAGAAGGTCTGGGAACCTTGGCCACTTTGAATGTTCAAGGACCACCTAAGAGGTCATATGATTGACAGGTAAAGCAACCAATCACATTTCGGTTTGTGTCGCATCATGTTTAGGGGCGTGAAAATGTCGCCACAATAACAGACCGGTGTGTAAACTCTCGGATGTATTTTGAAGAGTCTATACCGCAAATTTGACATATTTCACATACATTTGAAAAGGGATCCTATATGCCCTTTAAGTTTGGATTTTTTTGGTGTACTAAAATAGGTTTTTATGCTTAATTGTTCCAAAATTGCATTGTTTTTCACACAATGCAGCACCTCTCTTCCCAGTCTGTCTCAAATGACTTGTTTAGTTCCTGTTTTGATGAAACCCCTCCTTCCGTAACACAAAATGTGCTCTGATTGGTTAGCTGGCCCAGTGCTCTGTGATTGTTCAATCTTAAACGGATAGTTCACTGAACATTCATAAATGTAAGATTTTATCATATTTACTTTCCCTTGGGTCATTCTGAACTGACTTTCTTCTGTGGAAAAGGTACAGTAAAAAATTGCACGCAGAAACGGCTAGTAAGCTTGATTTCATCACAAAGAGATTCAATTAAGGTTTTTTTTTCATGACAAAATACATTTAGACCAGAAAGCAACCTTGCTTTAGATTTTTGACTACTAATTTTCTCCTAAAACACCACTGGCACTCACTTTTGAGGAGGCTTTTTGATCAGGCAATGGAGTTAAAAAAAAAAAACCTTTCATGCCAAGGACCCCCAGATATGATAAATTTCACAACCAAAAATATAAAAGGCAGTTACATATTTTATACAGACCTATTTATATTGTACCAAAGTCAAAACAAATGAATGAAATATTATGTGCAAAACATGTACTATGTAAAAAGTTAACAACATATTTTTTTCTACACACTAATAAAATCTAATATTAAAAAATATACAGAAACCGAATAACACTTTCCATGATAAATATCATTCTAACGCAGTTCTACAGAAAACAGAGCCATATACAACCCGTGAGCTGAAGGTGAAAGAGGCCAGGAAAAAAAAAAACCTAGAAAGGTACTAAACAAATACAAACTATTCTTATAAATGCATTGTAAGAAAGAAGAGTTTAACATTTAGAAATACATACAGATTTGGGTTTT